TTCCCTATATAACACTCACTCTGATCCCTTTCAAACTGTCGAGTATTGTATAGCGTTTATCACTCTCATAGCGATAGCTACTCTACGGAGCCTGTCTAGTTTTTCATAGCCTTATCTTAGTCTTGCCTTGTCTGTTTTCTCGTGTCCTGATCTTTGCCTGTGTATCTCGGATTCCCCCTCTCGTCTTGCCCTATTCGGATACTGTTTGCCCCTGCCTGGACCTTTGCCTTGTACCTGGATTTATCCCTCTAGTCTCGCCCTGTTGATTCTGTTCGCCGATCGTAGACCCACGCTAGGCCTAGGAATATTCTTGTGTCTTGCCCTCTATATACCTGTTGCCATTGTCTGACCCTTGCCTGTTTCTGACCATGTCGGTTAATAAAGCTTTGCACTTGGATCTGCACATCTCACGTCTCAGTCACTCCGTGACACTACCTAATCTGGCAAATGTTTTTAAAACAACTTTTCGATTATATAATTAATATTTAATCATAGCCCTAGTATTCTGGCACAAATCAATATAGGTTTTTGAATGAATAAATTAATGAATGAACAAACCATCCCAATTAAACTAAACTGATAATTTTTCACTAAATACAATGAAAACCAAATATTATTATTATTATTATTATAGGAAATAATGTTATGCTACTAACAAAAAGTAGCTAACTACAAGCTACCTAAGGTGGCAAATTTTGGTTTTAATAACTTTTCAATTATATAATGAATATTTAATCATAGCCCTAGTATTCTGGCACAAATCAGTGTAAGTTTTTTAATGAATTAATGAATGAACAAACCATCCCAGATAAAGTAAACGGATCATTTTTCACTAAATACAATGAACAAAAACAATTCATATTATTATAATTATTATTATTAGTAGTAGTAGTAGTATTATAAAAAAACTAAAACACTTCTTTATAACTGCATCATACATATAGCGATGGATTAAATATTCTGCTTAAAAAAATAAAATGCAGAGACTCAAAACAATGAATCTTGTTTTTACTGTTAAATTAGAAAAAATTTTTGAATAAACCAATTTCTAGAATGAATCTGCCTTTCCAACACTATATGAAAGCGCGGACCATTTAAGATGAACCACTTCATTAAAATGCATCAGACTTTCAAACGCGACATTTGACAGCAAGTGAGCCGAGAGTGTTTGAATACCTCAGCTCACTTGGCATTCAAGTTGTATAAACAGCGATGTTGAGCTTGGTTGCTCACCACGTCTAATCATTGGATAAATCATCTTGTTGGCAGAAAAAGTTACACTGCTTTGAAATCATTTGAGCTACTGAAAAATGCCGTTTAGTTAGTTAGTTAGTTAGTTACACCCCAACACTTTCCTATATTTCCAAATGGCACAAATAGTAATAGTAAAGTTTAAGTTTGTTTACAAAAAAATTGTCTTGTAAAAAGAAATCCATTTTTTATTGTGAACTTTCAAGTGACATATAAAAAAAGTGTTTGTTATTTTCTCCAAAGTTCTTTAAGCTCACAAGAGGAAAACACACCAGACCAACTGTCAGGCATTGTGTTATATGCCTTTTTTGGCATAATTCAAGTTATATTGGAAATCTCCCTTGACATGTGGAGTACACTCCCTGACACACTCACAAACACACCCTCACGAGCCTTTACATGTTATAATGCAGGGTGTGATACTGAGACATATGCACAAATATACCCTTTGTTAACACAGTGTTTTAGAAACAGGCTCTAGTACAGATGCTGTTTATGTGTGATTACAGTCCCTCTTTTTATAATATAATATGTTCATTCACAAAGCATTGAAGACTTGCACAGCCACATGAAACAAGTCTTCCTCTTTGGCTGTAGCATTTGTACAATGATGAATGAACAGTGTTCAATCCAACAACTTACAAAAAAATAGTACAGGCTCGCTGGCTCGTTTTCATGTCTGAAAATAATGTGATAATGTCATCTTGTTTACCAATACAACCCATTGCCCTAGACATTACTCAAGCTTTTATTGCCAAAATCTAGGATATCTAATGCTCTCATCTAAGCACACTGTGAGTTTCTGTTTTCATTATAAGTACACTTTTTGTCACTTTTTTTCATCTGTGCTTGTGATTTACACAGGGTTGTCCTAAATAAGACAGCATTTTCCCAGGATTTGGTATCCCAAACCACTTCAGCCAATAGCCTCAAATCCCACATACCCACGCACACTTGACCTTATTCATGTGGGCTAGCAGCTACACCTGGATCCAATTAAAAGTCTCTCACATCCTTTTTGTTATTTTTAAGTCCAGAACTTCATATTATTGTTTTGCTAGCTTTATTAGGGCAACGTTGTTTGTGTGACTTGTTTATACAAGTTCAAGTAATTCAAAGAAATACTCTAAATTATAATAATACAACTTACTACAATAATTTTCTAATAATACCACTTACTACAAACTCTAATCTGCATATTTTAATTCACAAGAGTGCACATGACAGCATTTAGAGTATAACGTTTAATGTTCTCCATTTTAATGACTGACTAATTGTTCTAAACCGTCCTCACACTTGTAGTCTAAACCGTCTGTCTTGAGCCTCTCGGGTCAGTCTTTTGTGTTTGGCGGTGTATTTCTCTCAATCACTCCAATATCAAACACTTGTTTGGGATTCCCAAGGTTGCCTGATTGCCATTGGCCCATTGTGTTATTTGCATGAGAATACACTGGTGTGTGTCTCCCATTATTCTTGCCTGAACGTGAAACCCTCTCCCCCATCTGTCTACCCCCTCAGCTGGCCACCATGCAGCCGGAGGACAAAGGTTGCAGGAAACATTGAGAAGACATGACAATGGCCCTCAATCAAGGTCAAGAGAAGTTCCAGGGTTCAAGCACAATGAATTTTACCAGTCATTAGTTTACTTGGTCCAACGTAAGTCACAGTCTTACAGCTTCCCAAATTCTTAGAGAGCTTGAAGTGGTTGTGTAAAAACTATCTATTAACAACATGTTAAAATGTGAAGTATGATTTGAAGTGTTGTGTATGTGTACATTTAAACACATATGTCTGTGCAAAGCTCTAGTGCTCCATCTAGCGACATCTTCCTATAAGGCCACATGGTACACAAGCAGTCCTAACCAGTACTAACTGGTTTTGGCCGTTTCCTTGCACTGTCTGCCATCTAGTGGATTTTTATGGCGTTGTTTTTCAGCATTTATCCAATTTGCCTCCTGTGAAAGTTCTAATGCATGATAAAACACTTAACTTTCAAGTTCTGTCTAAAATAATATGAATATTAGTATAAGCAAAACATTATACACATTACACATACACTAAAATATACTTTTAATAAACAAATACAATTAAAATAGAAATCAAGTGTTGATTTGTGTCATTTTGAGCAGACTTTTTGCTGCATCTTATCCGTTTCCACTTTGCTAGAGCATTTCCTGTGTCCTGTCTGCAGTATGCCTACATGCGCTTCAACCCAACATCTAAATACTGTTCTTCCCATGAGCTGTCTATATGTTTACATACAAAAACAACAGCAACAACAAAGGGATATCTTAATCACAGGATGTTATTTGATATTACATGTTACACGGCTTATCTATCAACCTGATACATTAGGTTTTTCATCTGCTGTGTAAATTAGTATTTGGGGGCAGGGTGACATATTGATCAGGGCTTAGGGGAGGAAAACCCTGCAAAAATAATAAAAACGCCCCTAGGTATTAAGGGCAAAAATGAATATTTTATATATTATCAAAATGCAGCGTTTTGTTTATTTAGAAAATACTCCCTCATAAAGGTAAGTTAAAGCCCCTAAAAATGTCTAAAATGTACCTAATGCCCCTTAATTTCTGATACTGTTTGAGATATACTCATCACATGTGACAAATAAACAAACAAACACGTAGTCTATCCTAACGACTGTTTTATACAAAAGATTATTCACTTCTCTGGCAGCCTAGATAAATCAGTTTAGGAGATCTGTTGTGGGGTCCATTCCATTTCAGGGTCAGTATGCCATGAAGCCCTAGTGGTCACTTTGGTGTATTGCACTAATGCACATCGTTGAAAACATTCATTTTGCATCAGGGTTTATTTTCTTTTAAGGTGGGGACAATTGTAAGCTATTTTAAAATGAATGTAGATATTTTTGAAGATAATTTGGATAATTATAATTTTTATTAATTTATAATAGCTGCTGGTGCTCTAACCCCAAATGGGCCTTTGTGAGTTCTGTGGAGAAGCGATCAGCAGCACATTACATTGGACAGATGGCGTGGCGCGCGCGCGCGCGCAGCCTTTGAGCCACCATGACTGACTGTCTGGGTTTATGGTCAGCCATTTTGTAGAATTCTTGTATGGAAGATACTCAGTGTTTTAGAGTATTATGAGATCACTTGCTTAAAACAATTTAAAACATTTTGTTTGTTTGTAAGGAAATTGTGTGCATTATATAGGCCTACTAAATAAAACATTTGTAATATTTTTTTTTCTCTAATATGCTAGTGTTCACTTTAGACTTTAAACTGCACAATTTTAACTTGGTCTCCAAATTGATTTCGATTTACTGGAGTATTAAAGGACACAGACGGTGCTTCCAATGAGAACAAAGAATGGGCGGATTTACAGTTTGAAAGCTTCATACTGACGTCCTGACCGACCCGTCTAAAATCTACTGCGCGCGTATTTCCAACCAATCACGTCTGTCTACAAAGACCGATTATGTTGATAAGCGTGATCGGTTTGATCGACAAGCCGGTTCACCACTCACGCATTCAAAAATAACAAGAATCCAATTAGGGCGCAGTGGGGGCGGGACCTCGGAAAGGGGGTTGGGTGCGAGGTATCATGGAGGATCAGTTAGAGAACGGCAGCCATTGAAGAAAGCTGAGCTGTTGGTCTGTGCTCTGGAGTTTCTGGATTTTTTTTTCTTCAAACTGCTAAAACAGTGCAGCAATCACCAACAAAATGGAGATGAAGAAGAGGATCAGTTTAGAGCTGAGGAACAGAACTCCAGCGGAGGTGAGCGCTTTAATTATGATAAATTACGCTTTAATTTAATAATAAATGATGTTAGTTCGCAAGCGGTCTATCCTGCACGTTAGACTCCGCTGAATGGCAGCACGGCTGTAAGAAGACCACATGGGCGTTTAAACGGATGCGAATACGATTTTTAGCCATGAATTAATGCATATACAGATCTATACAAGATTATTTAAAAACAAGCAGTCAATATAATCGTTATGTGAGTGTGCGAAACTCTTAGTGAATCTTTTGTGAACTCGTTACATGGTCTCCTTCGCCATTGCATTTATACTTGTCGTTGTGGGCGTCCCAACTAAACCGCAAAATAATGTACTTCTATTTTTTAAGACCCCATTTTTTTTATTGGATGGTTCAGAAACAATTTTATTACTCAATAAGTGACGTCCAATTCAGTAACGACGTTATAGTCTCCCGATACGACAATATTATCGCTTTCAACGGGAAATAGTAGCAGTGAAAACAAAACGTGTTGTTATACGATGTCATAGTCCGAACGTCCGTAAATGCAAAATACCGTGCAAAACATCACGCGATTGAATGTCTTCTCATATAAAAAGTTTATTGTAGGCAAGCTTCACTTATGCGTACCTCACTATGGTTTCTCTAAGCTATTAAAAACGAGCAGTTTCGTCTTCCAAAGGCGGACGTCTTACTCTCCAACTCTTCGACATTAGACATTCAGGGTCGCTTGCCTTCGGTCCTCCTCCTAAGACCCTCAAAGCCATTTATGTTCAGGGTTTGAGAGCACAAGCACATATCGAGGGAATGTCGAGTCAAACTGTATAAATAAGCGTTCATGGCTTCTGCAGCGCCTCGCAGTGTGTGTGGTGAGGATGGTGTGTGCGAAAGCTGCTCGAGTCTCCGCGTTGACGGGCGGGGAGTGGAAGTCATTTTGGTGCATCAATAGTTGAGACGCAAATGACGGTGTTTTGTGGCTTTAACTGTGTTTTTATTAACCAGAGTCGAGCGGTTTCTGATTCACTGTGCTTACGTGCTGTGTTGAACGGAATAATTGGCGCTTAGAGCCTGAAATAGTCGCTCGACGGATGCGGTAGTACGGACCGTTCAAAAAAAACAAGTTGCCTCCGTGTTACGTTAATGGCTTAATTACGTAACCTTCTGTAACATTATTTATCACTGACGTTAAACAATATGCATTCGGCTTTATGAAGCTTATCCGTCAGTGGTTTACTAATTGAAGGAATGTGGCAGATGGTGAAGGGGCGAGCCCCCCTTCCTCCGATTTTAGTAGATTATTGTAGGCTTGCCTGAACCGACGTAGAGAGGCACGCTTCTTTTGAATGGGGGTTCTGAGGGATGGGGTCTTTTACACGAGCTCGAGTTAATGCTCTGCCAGAGCGGACGTGTATAAGATACGTGACTTTTAACTTGGGTGTATCCTGCCTCACCAGTACAAGAACTGTAGCAAAATATTATATTTTATATCCTAAGTATAATATATATAATAATATTATATCCTAAGTGATGAGGGGGGTGGAAACATTACCAAGGCTACATTACACACACATCACGTGCTGAAAAATGTCGTATCTTTCCACAAGGGCGACAAGTTATTGAATATTTAAATTTTAGGGCTGCAGTGCACTTCTGTGCTCGCGTGCGTTATAAGAAGGCCAACACATTACTTAAAGCCCATCAACATTGCTTATTGTTTATTTATTGTAAATACATTTTTTAAAACGTTTCTAAACTTAATTGTTTGTTTCACTCTTTTAGGCAGATAAACAACAATGCATGTTTACAATACCCTTAAAAATGAATAATTTTTCTGTGGTGTCCCAAATGAATGTTATTAATAAAATTCATAAAATGGCAAAACTAGTTCAACCAATTGTGTGAGTTTGAAGGCGGGACTATATGTTTGCCCGACCAATAGCAAAGGGGGGAGTGGTTTGAGAAACCGGTTTGAAAATGCACTGTTTTTGCAGTAACATTTGGTCCCACTAGGTGCGTAATAAGTGAACCACTTCACCTCAGTGTGTAATAAAACTTAACATTTTGGGAATTTAATGGGCTGCTACTAGATGGAAAGCTGCTATCAGTTACATCAGCAGTTGTCAGATGTTGCAACTTTCAGCCTTGTGGTAAATCATGCCCATAGTATGATTCTTTGTTTACCAGTGACCTATTATGTTCATCACTCCTGCAGGTAGCAGAGCTGGTGGTAGATAATTGCCGCTCAAGTGACGGTGAGATTGAAGGCCTGACAGATGAGTTTAAGGAGCTGGAGTTCCTCAGCATGGTCAACGTGGGTCTCACCTCCCTGGCCAAACTACCCACACTGCCAAAATTGAGGAAGGTCAGTCAAGAGATCAAGCATTCAGTTCAGTACACTAGGCAAAGTGCTTTTAACAAGAAGATCTGTTGTGCTTTAAGTTTAATGCTCCAACCATGCAGAAAATGGATATTGTAACACTGTTTACATTTTTATGTAGACACTTTGTATTATTAAAGTGCGCTAAAATGGATGGAGAATGCCCAAAGTGTGACGTTAGCAAAATATCCATGTTGAATAATTGTAATTGTAAAATAGTTTTATAAGCACATAAATGGTCTGAATACTTTCCGTACCCACTGTACATTAAGTATAGGTTGATTAGTATTACTCCGTATTTGTGTAATTATGCTGTAACAGTGAAAGTAGTTTCTGAGTGCACAAGTTGCTTTAATTGTCTTGTTAATTTTTGTTTCAACCTTTCCAGTATATATAAAGTTTATTTTAAAAGCAGTTCTCTCTATTACAGTTGGAGCTGAGCGATAATAACATCTTAGGGTCACTAGAGACACTTGCAGAGAAATGCGCCAACCTGACTTACCTTAATTTGAGTGGCAACAAGATCAAAGAACTCAGCACATTGGAGGCCCTGGTAAAAACACGGATACATTTACAACACCACAACATATTTCTGAATAAATATATTTTGGACATGCTATTCGTCAGCCCTTTTCTTTAGTGATGGTACAGTTATTGCACAGTCAGGCAGTCATTATCCTAAACATCATTTTTCAACCTTGATTGATGTATGACATGCTTTTCCCTCAGCAAAACTTAAAGAACCTGAAGAGTTTGGACCTGTTCAATTGTGAGATCACCACGTTGGAGGACTACAGGGAAAGCATCTTTGAGCTGCTGCCTCAGGTCACATACCTGGACGGCTTTGATGCAGAAGACAATGAAGCTCCAGACTCTGAGGCTGATGATGATGGTAAGAACCATGAATAAGGATTGAGTTTGATTATACAGCCGAGTCCTTTTTAGGTGCAGACAATTATGGTCCTCGTCCAATGGATACAAAGATAATTGTAAAAACCATACATATGGTGCAAAGTAAATGAGATAAAGGTATGTTACATCAAGTCATTATTTCTACTACTTTTATGCAGATGATGATGAGGATGGCGAGGAAGGAGCAGGGCAGCTGGGAGATTATGAGGAAGAGGAGGAGGATGAGGAAGGCTCAGAGGGTGGAGAAGTTGGGCTGTCCTATCTAATGAAAGAGGACATCCAGGTGATGTATCTTTGACCTGTTTTTAACATTCACAACCAGTTTTCCAAAATGTCGCATCTTGATAATGACAGGTTCCTTCCGTAACAGGATGAAGAAGATGATGGCGATTATGTAGAAGAGGAAGAGGAAGAAGGAGAGGGTAAGCATTAATTATGCAACCAAACCTTGTGAAATTGTCACTTCTATGTTGAACTGCTTTTCAATGACTGTACTTTGTGCAGAAGAGGAGGCCGACGTTCGAGGAGAGAAGCGAAAGAGGGACGCAGAAGATGAGGGTGAAGATGACGATGAGGACGACGACTAACCCTTTGTTCGACTTCTTGGAAACAATATCCAAGGTGTAGATCAACCCTGAAAAAGACCGTGATCTTGCAGATTGTTTTTCTCTTTGTAAAACCATAGATAAATCACTGTAGAGGCTAAGTGTTTTCTTTTATAAATACATTATATATTACACTATATAAAAGGGGGTTATTGATAATTCATTTATAGCCATTCCAAGTTTATTCCCAATGCATAAATTGGTGTCATCAGGGGGTGGGCGTGGGGAGGTTGGCAAGGCCGTGAGATTTGAGATTTCTTGATTGTAAATAAGCTTTTGGGCAGCCCATTCAAGACAGCGCTAGGATTTCACCGCTGAGAGGAGACAGCAGCGTACATTTGTCCAAACTGCAGCTCCCCAAGACCTCTGTGAGGAGGCAGAGCGTTTTCTGCTCCTCATCTACCTCTCCAGGTCTCATTCTCAGCCCAACACGGAGCAGCAAGCCAATCGTCTCCAACCGTCAACCCCTTTGTTCCTGGATCAACCAATCGCTGCCAAGGATCTTGTGTCACACTCTTTATATGGGATGGTCTCCACTCGATTCAGCTTTTCTAGTAGATCAGGCTCATGTTGGCAGACCAGATGGTATGTGATCTTGTGAATTTTAAAGTGTGATGTATGTAAATGTGATGTAAATTGAGCAAAGATGGGGAGTCAAGCTGTAGGTTGGCAAAATCGAATTTCAATTTTAATCTCAAAGTAGTTTTTTAATAAAGAGATCAATCATGTGTAACATGAGCAGTTCGCCCTTTCTCCCATTTTATGCAGAAGTAACTTATTTTTGACAAGATGTCATCTTAGACGTTAAAATTGAGATTTGCCATTGCTGGAAATTTCTCATGATGTTCAGGTTTAACAGCTTTGTTGGATTAAACCGTACCCTTGAGTACCTTTCTACCTTTGTCTTGCTGTGGAAACCGGTTAGTTTCTACCTTTTGTTGAGGTATTTTACGGAGTAATACATTTAATTTAATGTTCGTATGGCAATATGTGTATATAGTATCTATTTCAACAGGTTGTGTTTTATTCTCCTTTTCTTTTTTTTTTTTTACTAATCTGTTTGGTCAGTTGTTTTAATACAAAGTACATGTCAAAGGACTTACATACACAGGTCACCTGTTAAAATTTCAAGTTGGTTGTTGTGCGAGTGTTGTATTGGGTTTTATGTGCTGTAACCCACTCTAAAAGGATTTTAGTTTTGTTGTTGGATTTTGGTGTTTTGTTTTAATGGGTTGATTAGGTTTTTTTGGTAGGTTTTTTTTTTTTTTTGTTTTTTTTTTTAATTTGCAAGCTCCTTTATCTGATTATGAGCTCCATTTGAGTTAGTTGTAATGAATGAGTGAATTGTCCTTTTGATTATAAAAATGACATGGGATGTTGCTCAAAAGATGGAGCATTGTCTGCTAAAGATTTCTGTAATTTGATTACACAATTTGGGATTTTCTCAAGCTGAGACCCATGAATTGTCTGGAAGCCTCAAATATAGGTGAAGAAGCACTGTTTTTAATGTCTCCGGAGTTGATAGAAAAATGTGTTCTGATAAAAACTGCAGTGATATTTCAATCATTTTTAGATAAATTTGAAAGATTTATAAAACCCTTACAATGAATGCAACCTGGTGTAAGTTTGATGTGGAAAATAAAGGAGAAACCTTTCACCATAATGTTCTTGTGGATTAGATTTTTTTTTTTTTATATAAAACTTTTAATTTTGTGTTCTTCAAAAAGTAAAAATGAAGTCAATTAAATGGAAAGACTTTTAATATAATTTCACAAATCCCAGCTCAAGTGTAACTTGTTGACTTTTCTTTATTTAGCTTGAGCCCCACAGGCCTGCAAACTTTAATTTTATACTACACTGCCATCTGTAAAGCCTAGTACTTAGATAATCATTTATTATTTATGAGTTACACAAACTTTAAGCAGCAGAGCATAGTGGAAAGGGTATGGCATGTGATCAACAGACAGAGTTACCAAGAGTTATCATTAATTAATCAGGAGTAAAGCAATCACCATCCGGCCAATAGAAATACAGCTGCAACAGTGGAAGGGTGGAGTCACAGTGATGCGTATTAATAATTAATTGATTTAATAAGTGAGAGTGTTTCACTAGGTGATTATGAGTAATAAGAAGAAATATTAAAACTAAAAAAAGGCTATTAAACAATACTAACTGTACTTTGACAAAAATCACATATTTATAGAACATATTCATTTATATGTTAATTTAAATCCATATAATCAATGGCAGTAAATGCAATGATCTTTTATTTCACTGGCTACTAGGAAAGAAAAAAAAAGTTTTTATTTGAGACCAGAATGTAACGAACTTTCATAGTGCTGAAAGCGTCGGTGATTAAAGGGGCAGGGGCTCTGCAACCAGAACTTAGGCAAAGACAGCATTAATCTTTTATTTATTTTATGATTTGTGCATTAAAAGTGATCTGAGTCAGGCTGTATGTTGAGAAGTTGGAGAAAGTGTCAAGAGAGTCATTTAGCCTATTAAAATACAAAAACATTTGCAAAAAGAGATCAAATGCATTACTTAACAATAAATTCTAGTTCTTTAAATATTTTTCTTTATTCATTTCCTTTATTGCTTTCATTTTCTCTTTTTGGCCAACAACAAAAAAAGTGTCTGCACCCTTTGCATATTGGCTGGTCTGTGCCCAAAATTTAAAGGGTAGTATAGAATATATAGGCAAGTTTAAAAAATAAAGAAAAAAAGCCCACCCAGCACCCTTCTATAGCTGCCAAGAACCAGTCCTGTCTCACATCAAACTTTTACAACATCTTTTATTACCATCATGAATTCAAAATGATAAATTGTTAAGTTTAAAACACCCTTGAACCTTGATTTATCTTTTAAGAGATATCATTCACAGAAGAGCATTTTTTTTTTCTCAGAAATGTGTTCTTGGAACGAGTATTTTTCATAAATATCAGGTTTGGCCAAGCAGTCACATACTTTAAATTTTATACATTCAAACAACTTATTCATTTCAATTCTTGTTGGTTCAAAGAATGTTTTTTGTTCCATTAATTGTATTGTTTTATTATTGGGAAAAGCCCAATGACAGGCTCCATTGTGACAACTTACCCCATATAATATGACAACATGCCACACTAAGTGTCAATGTGTTCAATGAACTTGAAACTTTATTATTCTGAACTGACATCCAAAATTAACTCAAACTTGTTATTCTGTCACTGTAACATGGCCTTTAGACCACTTGAGGGAGCTAATTTACTAGTAATGCGTGTTTTGTCTTGGGCACATAATCATCCCCAAATTATGACCAACGACAAATTATACCAATAACTCAGGAGGTTTTAAGAAGCTTTAACCATGTTAATATATCCCTGTGAACATAGTTATTGACTATGGGTGAAGATAAACAAAAGTCTGTTCAATGCATCTTTGCATCTTCGTTTGCACAGAGGACAGTGCTGTTCTATGTCTAAATGCAGAGTTTGTTTGTGATGTACAGTGTATGACACCACACAAAAAGAGTACTTCAACACAGAATGTTTCATGTACATTACAGCTTAGATGGATCTGCTCTCTCTCTCTCTCTCTCTCTCTCTCGCTCTCTCTCTCTCTCATTTAAATTTAAAATTGTTAACTCAAAGCAGGTATTACACACTTTGTAATTAACATCTGATGCATTTATAAATCAAAAATCACAATTGAAATAAAAAAAATGTTCCTGAGATTCAATATCTTTAACAACATGTACAAACATTACTACAAACTAAACCACCAGGGTCCTAGAAATGCGGTCCTGAAACTGCAGTCTCCGCTATATTATCCAATTCGGTAGGTGGCGCTGTTACAAAAGAATAGGGTCCTAGAACTGCGGTCCTAGAACTGCAGCCTCCGGTTGTGCAGGAACACCCTTCTCCATCCATGTGCAGACTGCCTCAACCCCCACAGCAGCTGATGAGTCGGAACATCCAATCAGGACGCCCGAGCTTCTGTAAGCCTTAAATGGAGTCAATGCAGTGAATGGCCAAGATCTGACGAGCAGTTATGATGAGTAGCTTTTGTTATATGACACAACATCTCCATTGCTCCCAGGGGGAACCTTTATATTAACAATGCTTTTATGTGCCTTACATCAGATATTTAATAAAACCACAAAATCTGCAAGAGGCCAGAGGTGAGTGAATAAAAGAAAAGTGGCATGCAAATACACTGCATGGAACAAACAGAAATTTAATCACTCCAATCTGTACTTTGAGAAGCATATTTATGGCAAAACCACTGTATAATCTATTCTGAGGCAGACTTTGATTTGTAAAAAAAAAAAAAAGTTTTTGCATTCGTCAAAAAGAAGTTTGTCGTTTTTAGAGAAAGATGTAATTATGACGTTTTGATAAAAAAATTACAAGGTCAAAATTTGATGAATCATTCACAGTAAGATATATAATATGCATTTAGAAAATAAATAGGGTGAATTTCCATTCTATGCTGACTTTAAATCATTTTTCAAATCCTCACATTTGTAGCATTGAAAAGTCTGCTTCATTATAGTGAATCAGTTCATCCTAAAAGGCCCTCATATTTAGCATAAAACATTCAGATTTATAATAGTGAATCAGTTCATTCAGACAGTAAATGGACAGTTCCTGTACAATGCTTTTCACTTGGCTTTGTCAGTTGAGTTTTTCTGTTGTATTTAGTATAAATGTGATCAATAGTGACACATTCATTCCTTGTTTTAAATGTGACTCATTACATTTTAACAGTGGATAGTTGTTGTTGTTGTTGTTTTGTATACACAGAAATTTGAACCACTATGATATTTTTAAATGTTTTTAATGCACACATCTGTTCTGCTGTACAGCAGCCACCAGCAATAAAAACATGAATGTTTAGCCAGGTGACTGGGAAATCTTTTTGATAAGCATGTTTATATACCTAAATATTACTATAATTGATTTTGTAATGAAATACTGCTTTGGCCCAGAAGAATGCAGATGACAATAAACAGCTGTTACTCTGTTATCAAACCCCATAAGGCATCTGTAGACCTCACATAACGCCATGTAGTTTGCTTTAACCTTAGAGCAATCGATCATTATTTCATCAAAATCATGGGGTTGAAGTCATTATCATTGATTTCGCAAACTGCCAGCACTCTACAATAAATGGAGGTAATTGACATTACTGCACTGCGACAAACAGAGCGTATATGGAGACACTAAACTAGCATACTCATTAACATATGATCACTAATTTAGGGACTTTATTCATTTTACAAAGCTATAATTATCTTTACAGTGTGCTTCATGAATTAAACATGAGAGGGCACACAGCACCAGCTGTTATAAACCCAGGGTTCAAGTGATCGGGACAGAAGCACAACCTGCAATTACGGCTGAATCCCCTTTACTTTTTATCTGGTAAAAAAGGATGAAGGAAGTGTTTAAGAGGAAATGATTTATTAAAGGGGATGTACAGCACAAAAGTACAGATAGGACTGGTTGTTCATTAATGCAAAATAAGAAAAAAGCTAACTAGAAACTGACATTTTAAAATGCACGTTAAACAAAATATTTTATATCAAGACTATGCTAGATAGCCTACACTAGTATCCTGAAAAGAGTAACTTTTGCATTAACCTCTCAGAGTTGATTGTCCAAGTGTTTACATGTGGCGTGGCTCATCCTTTAAATATGCAAAGCCCAGCATCTCTCTAGAAGCTCTCTGTTGTCATGTTATATTTATAAGTGGCCATGTGCACTGTGCGCTGGTCCGAAAGAAATGACACATTAGGTTTAGGCCTTTGCTCTCCCAGAGCACTATATAGCGTGTTTGTGTTTTATCATGTGGTATTATTAAAACTGCATGTATTTTTAGCTCTGTTGCTAGCATCCGCACAACACTCGCACTGAGGAAAATCCTCTCTCAAAAGGAGGAAGCAATGTTATTGTTGAAAGGTGGAAACAGAGATGTAATTTGGAACTGGAAATAAAACCAGTGACCAAGACATATATTTTTAGCCGAATGGTAATCTGCTAGGAGTTACTGGCACATGGCTGAGCTTGATAATGTATTCATGTGACATTAGTCATAGTTTTTAAATCGCTTTTTTAATCAAACGTACTCACCTAAACGGTCCTCTCTCTTTGTAGCGGTGAAAAGACCCATTAGGCTATATTTTGCATTGGACAGTCAAATTAAAATTACATTTTACATATTTTTTTTCACATACTGCACCTTAAGTATCTTTAATGATTGTAGTGTAACTATTTTATTTCTTGTAGCTTGGAAAGCTACAGATTTAAAGTACACATTCACATGTTCATGGTTTCTGATGTCATTTAATGGTCACATGACACGCCAGTAAGTATTTAATCTTTTATTAGGAAGTGTTGTTAGGTCCAGTTAGACCTTCAATTGGACTCAAAGCACTTTAACTGTAATTATATAACTTTTGTAAATTACAATTGCACTGTAAAATATATTTGATCATTATAATCAAATCAAAATTGATTATTTTTGAATTATTTTTTAAAATTTCCAAAAATGTATTATATAATTTTTCTCAAAATTTTGTTTATATTTGAAATCCTCAAGCTTGTAATGCTGTAAACTTCTGTCCACAGAATGTTGGAAATTATGCAAATTAAATAGCACACTTTGCATT